CCCCCCCCCCACCCCCCCCTCACACAAACTCACATACACACCTGTCGACAGGGAGTCGGAGGCCCTGCTGGCGGACCCGGAGGCCCAGCACGGTGAGGCTGCCCTGGCCGGGGCCGCATATAACAGCGCCCTCGCGCGCGGCGTGCACCGCGCCTCGGCCGGCCTGGCCTCGGGCCTGCTGGTCAGCGCAGCCTACGCCACCGGCGCCATCAAGCGCGTCACCGACGCGGCGCGCCCCGCCGCGCCCACCGCCGCGCCCGTGCACGTGTCGGAGGCGACCAAGCGCCGCTTCGAGCGCACCGCCGCCGCCGCCGAGTGGGCGTCGGGCGCTGCCGGTGCGGTGGTGGGCGGGCTGGCATGGGTCGGCGCCAAGGTGGCGGGCGGCGCTCTGTGGGCGCTGGGCGCAGACAAGCCGCTGGCGCCGGGGGAGGAGGCGGGGGTGCTGCGCGAGACCTCGCATGCCGCCGCCGCCGGCTTTTCCCAGGTGTGGGAGGGCATGGAGGACGCGGGGCGCGCCGTGCTGCTCTCCGCCCGCGATGGCGCCGCGGGCGTGGTGGGCGACCGCTACGGCGCCGACGCCGCGGGCCTGTCCTTGCACAGCATGAACGCGGCGGGGAGCGGGGCCAACGCGGTGTACGCGGTACGCAAGCTGGGCGTGCGCACCGTGGCCAAGGCCGCCGCGAAGCGTACGGCCAAGGGCGTCTTTAAGACCATGGGCGCGGGCGGGGCCGGCGCCGGGGCCGCGGCGGCAAGTGGCGGGGTGGATGTGGCTGCAGAGGCGCCGCCTGGCGCCAAGCAGCAGCAGCTCGTGCCGCAGGGCAAGCAGGCGTGATGCGGTGATACGGGAGCATTGCTGTGAGGGGGCCCTCCCCTCTTCCCGATGGTCAATTCGGGGCAACTGCAGATAGGCTGATGCCATATCAGTTTCAATGCTGGCACGCTGGCGATCCACACGCCGGTAACTCTTGATACCTACCTGTCCCCCCCCCCCCCCCACCCAGCTGAAGTGGGGGACACATGTCAAACCCGCAAACTCACAACATGCAGTGCCAGCTCCCTGCGCCTACAACCCCACACATACATACACTTTTTATAATATCCCTGGAATCCCTGCACGTGCTCATACCCTCTTGATTTGTAATAACAATAGCCTCGAAAGGCTCAGGCAGAGTCACTGGCCGCACTGTCGCTGTCAGACCCGCCCAGTAAGCTTTCCATCATCCCCCTCCGGCCCGGCGCGACGCCCTTTGGCCGACCATCCTCCTCCCCCGCCTTCCGTTTTCGGTCTAGTCCCGTGGCCAAAGCTTCCCTGGGTTGATAAGGGGCACGGGGCTTCTGTAAGGAATGGCCGCAGCGTCATTTACCCCGAGGTGGTGTGCATGAAATTCCATCCCACCTCCACACAACATTGCCACTGCTCCCCCTCGCAAAGCACAAACGGCCTGCCACGCCGCCACCCTCCTCCCCGCACGGACAAATTCCCCCTCCTCTCCTTTCCGCACACCACCCTTCCTGGCTTGCCTGAGGCCCAGACGTGCCGCCTCGGCCTCCCTTGCCAGCCGGGTCCGGGCCGCCTCCGGGGTCTCGTCCGTGGGGGCCCCCTCCGGCCCCGGCCCGGCCAGTTCCACGCTTCCCGCCGCGTCGGTGAGGCCGCAGCGCGCGACCGCAACACGCGAGGTGGGGCTGTCGTCCGGCTGCGTGGCGCTGCCATTTAGGCGGTCCAGCAGCAGCAGGCTGGCCTCCGTCACCCGTCCCACCACAGCGTGCGTTTCGTCCAGGTGCAGCGCTCGGTTGAAGGCCCACAGGAAATCTGCGCCGGAGCGGGCGAGGGAGACCGCTCCCTTCTCGGAGTGGCGCAGGGAGGGGTGCGAGCGAATGTGCACGCCCGCCTTGGTCCGCCTGCGCAAAGGGTAGTGTGTGTGGGATGAAGTGGCGCATGGCGGGTGGCGCAGGACAGCTGTGCGCGGTAGAGATTCCCACTTTCCTGGATCCCAGTGTGCCATGCAGCCTGTGGCTCGGGCACGAGGCACCACCGCAGCAGCCGCGGCCAGGGCATACCCTCCCAGGGCCTCACTTTGGGCGGTGGCCCCCCCACGCCGCCTGCTCCCGGACCAGCTTGTAGATGTGTGACCCCTGGAAGGAGTCTGCGGAGGCCCCTGCACACCTATTCCGGAACAGCGCCGCAGGGCCAGGCGCTATGTCCTCAAACAGCTCGATGACCAGGCGGCCTGGTTGCAGAGGAGGGACGGGTCGTGCAGTGTCAGTGATCCTGACCATGCAGCCATGAGTGGGCGAGGGATGCCTTCATAAGTGTTCAGAGAATGCGTGCCAGGGCCCCATCCGTGCACCCTCCTCATGAAAGTGCTGCATCTGGCCAACACCGCACAGCTATAGATCCCCCGTCAAATGTGCTCAACAAATCTTCTTCAGGAGCACCCCAGGGCCTGGAACTCCCACAGTATGTCCATGCCAACCTGCAGGCTTCCCGCTGATCGTCAGATCCATGTACACATGGGGCCGGGCGGTGCTGGCCTCTGGCAGCAGCACCACGGCATTGGCCTGCTTTGTCTTCAGACGCTCAACTTCTGGATGGTGCCCAGTTTGAAGGAAGGATTCCATGTCCTGTGGCATGGATTTAAGGTATCAATGAGGGCTGTCCTTGTCGAGTGGCGTGCTCTGTGAGCGAGCAAGGTACAACCCCAATCCCACCTAACACCTCGTCCCACGCCAACATGCGTGGCATGCACAGGCTGCTCACCTTCTTCGCATCCTTCAATGTGTACCCTACGGACTTGAGCCGCACCCCCACCGCGTCGCCGCAGAACTTGGTCCCTCCTTTCCCCATGCCGGTCCGTGTGCGACGATGTCTTCCGAGCAAGGTGCTGCTCAACACTGCACACGACGCTTTATAGGAGGGGGTGGATAAAGTTCATTCCCCCTACTTGAGTTTATTCAAGTTACAACTAAGTTTATGAAAGATTTTGTAGAGAGGAGGTGGTGTCGGTAGATTTTTCGCCTTTCGTTCACATCTCGCGCCCTCTCAACAGGTCTTGCCCAGGCAAGCCCTTCCCCGTCACGGCGTATGCAACCTCTGCTTCTCTGTTTATCGATTATTGCTACGATTGAACAATTGAGAGAACAATGAGGAAAAACAGAGATCGAGCAGTCTTGAAGTGGACCGGGTCTTGGTGCAGGCTCCTGTGCAAGCTGCATGCGTCCATTCATTATCCCAGTCAAGGCTCACTCAGCTCGGGCAACTTGTGTCCTGCAACATTCAGGAACCTCTCGAGAGATTGACTCCAGGGGTGCAGGCCTCCAACCGTGCCCCTGCTGTCTAGTGCTTCCGGTTCAGTTCCTCCTGGACGTCCTCCAGAGCGAGCCTGCAGCAGCACATCATGAGGGTAACTGTGTGAATCAAAAGACCCAAAGGTATGCACCCAGACCAACAAATATTGACCGTTCATCACTCACAATTGCCCGACTTCCTCCTTGCCCCAGTTGTGTGCACCCCCTCCATGCTTCTTCTCCAGTTCGTGGCTGCGGAACGCGATGTGAGCGGGAAGTCACGGGTGAGGGACGACACACGGGGTGCTTATACCGGGAACGTGCATCACAGAACGGCGCAACTCACCCGCGACCCGTGCCGTCCTTGCGATCGTGCTGCCTCCGGGGTGAGGAAGCATCTTGGATTCCGGAACCCGGCCCTCTTGGGGAACCTCCTGAAGTCTTCATGTGATTCTTCTGGTCCTTCATTCTTACGATTAATGAGTTCCAGTTCCGCTACGCAGCGTCTTGAGTTTTGTTTGGCAGATGTCGATGAGGGTCACGGAGCCGGAACCACCCTCCGTCACGTGACTCCTGGACAGGCTTGCGATCGTCAGGTCTCGCGCCTCCGAATCGGAGAGAATCCCGAGATGCATATTGTAATTTTGTGTCGATGTGTTTATTAGGTGCCGTCTTCATGTTGGGCCACCATGGCTTGGTCAAGGATTGTGCGCAGAGATTATGCAGCCTGCTTCCACCGACGAGGTGTACCAGACCAGGACTCGACAGTAATAAAGAGAATAAAAGCCGTGCAAATTCAAAGTTTGGGAGCTCATCGACGCGATGATGACGGCTCGCCTTCGACAAGCCTGCGACATGCAAATCCCGAAACGAAAACTCCAGACAGACGCTGCAATCCACGCGATCCAACATTGTTTTTGTTCTTCCTCTAAAGGGCAAAGTATAAAGCTGGCATCGATCTCGTTGGGCACAATCGTGGCTACATCCCTATTGAGCGCGCCAGCCGCTGTGGCGCTCAGATGACACACGAACGCCACGTCGGCTCCCGGGTTACGGTGGATCTCCCCGCCCGCTCCATGCCTGTCCCGATCCACTCCCCCTGCGTCCCCTATCGCTCTGCCCTGTCACATATGTCGCTTTCGTCATGCGAACGCTACTCGCCAGAGAGTGCTGAGGCCTTGTTCAAACGGGAGTCCGGCTCAGGAGGAGCACCGGGACACCCGGTCCCCTCCCTCGCCATGGTGTACGCGCCTCATCCCTTCTTCAACGCAAGGAACTTGCTGGAGCAGCAGACCCTGACAACCTTCATCAAGAACCTGAACGGTTTAGCGGGCCCCCTGAAGGGGCGTCAGAAGCCCCCGCACCTGGTGCAATTCACGACACAGACGACCGTGGGCCAGGCGCTCAGGGTGAGCAAATAGAGGGGAGGGGTGTGCCAGGGACTTGCCTTGGAGGGGATGCGTAGGACGTATATACATGGTCCTTTCAGTACTGCCATGGGGTCCAGCAAGCAGCTTTTAGAGTAAACCCATGGTCGTCGCCGCCCTCCCAGGAACTGGCGGCGTACAACATCCTCGGCGCACCCGTCATCGATGCGGCGACGGGGGAGTACGCCGGCATCATTGATGTCGGGAACATCCTGGGGGCGCTGGTCGAGGGTGAGAAGGCCGGGCTGGTCGCCTGGCTGGACCGTCTGGATTTTCAGGGTTGGCCTCCCGGAAGCCTGCCTGCTGTCCAAACCCCGCACTGCCTGCCCTTGCAAGGATACCCCCATGCTCCCCTCTTCCTCCACCCTCCTAACCCCGGGTGCCCGTCTGTGCCCTCCCTGCCGCAGACCTGGCCGGGGACAGGGACATGAGCCAGCTCCCCGACGACGAGTTTGTGGCAGCCCAGCCCCGGTTGTCAGGCCCAGAGCTGCAGCGAGTGGGCGATGCCTTCACCGCCAAGACCCTCGGCCGGCTCCTGCACAGCGGCGAGCTGTGAGTGGATGGTTGTGTCGGCCTGCAGGGAGGCTTGTCATGGATGGCGATGTCCTCCTGTTGGGACTGTTGTGTTGAGTTTGTGTAGGAAGTGCGGAGCCACTTGTTCTACTGGTCTGCCAACGCATGCACATCGATTTCTCCTACCTCTTTGAGTATGTTTATCTTCAGGTTGCCATCCTCCTGCCTATGTGTGGGTCTTCCAGTGCTGTGAATTCACCCTACTCCCCTCATAGAGAATACAGCCCGCCCCGCCCACTCCAAGATTCCTCCCCCTCCCTCCATCGCTCCCACCTCTCCAGGTGGTTCAAGGGCGATGCTGAGTCGACGCTGCTGGAGGTGGTCAACGCCGGCTTCAAGGTGCGGCTGGCGGCGGGCCCTGGCGGGTCGCTGGCCGGCGCGCCGGCGCTGACGCCGGTGCACCACCGAGTGGCGGTCTTCGACATCCTGCCCGGGGAGGAGACCCCCGACGGCCCCGTCCCCGCCTGGCGCATCACCGACATCGTGTCCCAGACCGACGTGGTGCGCTTCCTGGCCGCCAACCTGGCGCGCCTGGACTCCGCCTTTGACGCCAGCGTGTCGCTGCTGGGCCTGGTGCAGGGCCCCGGCGCGGTGCGCACGCTGCCCGCCGACGCGCCGACGCTGGCGGCCTTCGCCTACATGCACCGCCATGCGCTGTCCGGCCTGGGGGTCACCGATCCAGGCACGGGCGTGCTGGTGGGCAACCTGTCCATGTCCGACCTGCGTGGCATCACGGCCGCGCGCTTCGACACCCTGGCCCTGCCCGTGGGCGCCTTCCTGCTGCGCCGCGCAGGGCGGGGCGTGGACTGGGGCCGTGACGCGGGCGCGCCGCCCACGGGCGAGCCCGCGGAGTGGAGCCCCGAGCTGCAGCGCCGCGCGCTGGTGGCCGTGCCGCGCGACACCCCCCTGCGCGAGGTCCTGCACCTGCTCGTCCGCCACTCCAAGCACCGCGCCTACGTGCGGGACGAGGCGGGGCGGGCGGTGGGCGTGGTCACGCCCACCGACCTCCTGCGCTGCATTGCGGGCTGAGCGGCGGTGGGTGCGGGAGGGGCCGAGGAGTGGGGGGCGGAGGGGCGCTGCCGGGCGGAGCGCCGGTCACGGGATGGGTGCGGCTCCCGCGTGGGGCCGAGGCGGTCCCACGCGGCCTCGGGGACTTTTCGAAGGAGCAGACTCCTGCAGGCGGCTGCGAGCCACCACCACCCAAGGCGTATGCCCATGCAGACATCGATCCCTGACCCCACAAGAGGCCCCACTTCGTCCAACCGCCCTTGCACTTGGCAGCCTGGCTTGTGACGCCGGTGGCAGGAGTGTCCAACTCTCTCTCCCTCTCGGTACTCAACTTACGCATGCAGCCTGTGGGTCGTTCAGAACAGTCGCACGCCCTTGGATAAAGAGTATCCTGCACCGCACGCTCCCCTGGCCTACTGTGGACCATCTTCCTTTGTAGGCAAGGCGACTGCGAGTAGTATGGCTGTCGTCTCTGAGCCGTGCGCAGCACTCGCCCACATGCTCAGGGTGCCCCTTCGTACACCCAAACAGTTTTCTGTGTTGCTCCCATCAACGAACCCACCCTGTTACCAGTCAGTTACATGGTTGACGTGTTAGTGGGGCGGGTTTCGACAAGCTTGACGGTCAGAAAGAGATGGCAAACAGTGTTCAACAACCCAACCAGATGGGCGCCGTGAGCAAGCAGAGGAGGGCCCGAAATCGCGCATAGTGCATAAACACAGAGCCTGAATGAGGAATGGCTGTCTGCAGCCTTCATTATTATCGTGATATGGGCATGGGGTCAGTCCTCGAGCGCTTTCTCAGCATGCGTTTTATCCTCAAGCACCTCATCATCAAGCGCCTCCTTCCCATGGGGCTCTTCGTCATCAGAGGCGGCGGTCGCGGCCTGGGCAGCCACCGTTGATCCTGCCTTGGCCTTGCGGGACTGCGCATTGTACATGGCGGCGACATCCTCGGCCGTGCTGGCAGCCTCTATGTCCTTATCGTCCCTGAACAAGAGTGGGGATGCCGCCCTGGGCTTACCAAAGGTGTGCTATGATGCTGTCAGTGTGCTAATGCAAGTTTTCTCCCGCCAGCCACCATCATGCACCTGAGGCCTACCCCGCCAGGTGCACACCTGATCCTCAGAAATCGCGGGAAGCGCAAGCCCAGGCCGCGGCTGGCATGCACCCGCCCGGCGGCAGCACGGTGCACCTAGCATAGCAGCTTGAGATTACACTGTCATCTTAGACCTTGCTTGTGAAAGCCCCCAATGAAGGCCCTCAGCCGACTCTCAGACAGGAACTGCAGGAAGAATGCATTCCCCTGCCAGCACCACTGCTGGATCAGGAGCAGGCACAATCACTGGGCGGTCGCCGGTGCATGGTTCTCCCCCTCACAACTCCTCCACGACACTCACCGGCGACAGGCTGAGGTCTGCCCCGCGGATCTCCCAGACCTCGCGTGGCTCAAACCACATGTCTGGCGACTCGCTGGTGTCATAGTACGCCTTGGGCCCAGGAATCTCGGTGGCCTTCAGCCTGGAAGAGGGATTGAGCATGGCACACAATTTGGGGAAGGGCAGCAGGCATGTGCAGGGAACGGTAAGCCGCGATGAGGGAGAGCATGAAACCCATACCAACTGGAATAATCGACCCCTGTGACACCTGCAGGCGCGTAACACAACGATCCCTTCTACCCCCTGCCACGATCACACGCTTCCCTCCGCAAACAAAACCCCTCCTCACCACCTCGCCCAATGTCACCTCTCCGTGGCCTCGCGGTAGAATGCGTCAGAGAACCCGCTCATGCAGCGGCACAGGCTCTGGAGCTGCTCCGTGTCTGGGTCCCAGACGGCCATGAGGAAGGGGGAGCACCAGCCCACCTTGCGCCCGCTTCCGTGCCATGCACCGATCACGACGAGGTCCAGGGTGTCGTGCAGGCCCTCGCAGTAGTCCCTGGGGCAGGGGTTGGTAGCGTTGTGGCAGCTGGAGCACTATATGAGGCAACTCATTGTGT